ACCTCAGCCTCCCCAGTAGCTGGGATTACAGGTGCATGCCACTTTGCCCAGCTAATTTTTTAAGTCATGAATTCAATCATATTACAAAAAGTTTGAACTTTCATCACTATCACCCTTTCAAAGTGGACTCTAGAGAAATTAACAAATGCATGAATATTAAACTTAAGTATTTAATTTTCTCTCCCACTATCCAATGCCTTCCTCTTGCCTTCCCAGTGGCATTCAAATGTCTCTGCACAGTATTTGAGACTCTCCAGGCCAGATGCAGTGGCTCAAGGCCATCCTAGCACTTTGAGAGGCTGAGGTGGGCAGATTGTTTGAGCCCAGGAGTTCAAGACCAGCCTGGGCAACATGGCAAAACCTCATCTCTACCAAAAATACCCAAAAAACAAAAAGAAAGAAAATCAAACAAACAAAATTAGTCAGGCATGGTGAAATGCGCTTGTAGTCCCAGCTACTGAGACTGAGGTGGGAGGATCGCTTGAGCCCAGGGTGTGCAGGCTGCAATGAGCTGAGTTTGCGCTACCGCACTCCAGCCTGGGTAACAAAGCGAGACCCCATCTCAAAAAAAGAGAGGACTCTTCAGATCTGGCCAGGCCTCAGATTTTCAGCCTCAGTTCCTATTAACTCTCAGTCTTGAACTCCACCCTAGTATTCTTGTCATTCCTCAACTTTGTGATACACTTCTTGCTCCAATATCTGTCTTTGTCTTGAAGTCCCGTCATCCTGGAAAAGTGCTTTCCCTATCTCAACCATGGGAAATCTTTTATTTCCAGCCCAGACACCCAGTTCTTTTTATGATACAACCATTATCTCCTCAGCTAGCTGGCCCTGTGGCTGGTTATTTTATTATATCACATAGCAGTGCTTGCCTTCCAATTGCATTACACTTGTCTCCCTGACTAAAATTTAGTTTCTTATGGTCAGGGGCTGCTTTGTTTTATTCTTTTCCACATTGATTTAGTACGAAAACCAAAGCCTTTCCCAAAGTCATTCCTTAATAAAATATCTGTTCAACCACATTTAGTCCCAAAATATAAGAATAGAGCTCTGAAACTTGAAGTAGCGTTTTTTGAAATTTTTCAAATCCTGCAAAAAGAAGGCTAAATTGCTTCCAGTTTGCTCACAATGACTGGCAGGTCATGTTTTCAGCACTTAAAACAACTTTTTCTTGTCGTTAAAAACTGATAGACATTCATTTTAGAAAATGTGTGAAGACACACACAAAGGAAAAAGTCATCAGTAAACTACCTTCCAAGGGCAGTAGCTGCTGGCTTTCCCCCCGTACATATGGAAATACTGTTAGTTTTCTCAGAAATTCTCAACAAAGGTAATATGGAAATACAGACAAGGGCACGTGGGAGAACAGGAGCAGATGAGAGCTCCAAGGGTCTGGTACTTCATGATTCTATGACCCTGGCTTCGTCTCTCCATCCCTCTCAGGCCCAGCTTCTTATCTGAAAAGTACAAATATGAATCCTATTTTTTATTCCTATAGAGGTTTTAGAATGATCAAATTATGAAACATTTGAAAATATTTTATAAATTAAAAAATACGATATGTCTGGTTTTATTAGTATGTTAACTGAACAGAAGATGACTCTATAGATAGACGGAGTGATCAGATTGAATCCTAAGTAATAGTTCCAGCTGGATAGACTTCTGCCTACCTCAGTTACCTGAGTTACAAATAACCTTGACTTCACAAAAGGGAAAGAAACTTTTATTAAGCATCTATTATATGCCAGGTTCTGTGCTGTCTGCCTTACACTTGTCTTCTTGTAGCACCACAAAATGCCCTTTTATACATGAGAAAAACTGAGATTCAATGAGCAAAGCCACTGTATTGTAAGATTAAAACCAAGGTGCCTCTATTTTCACTATAGAGGGACCTTTTAAGGATATTATTTTCACGGAGTTCCTCTTATTCTTATGGAAATTCTTACTCTTACAGAAACTTTCAGAGTGATGGAAGGGCAGAAAGATTGGATACATGAGTTATTTTGATACAGTTTCCCTTAGGGGCATTTAAAGTTGTGATTATCTCATTATTTCATCTTAGAAGAAAGAGTGAACTAACTTTTGTTCTGTTTTGTTTTGATTTTTGAGACAGGCTCTTGTGCTGTCACCCAAGCTGGAATGCTGTGGTGCAATCAAGACTCACTGTAGCCTCAACCTCCCTGGCTTAGGTGATCCTCCCACCTCAGCCTCTTGAGTAGCTAGGACTGTAGATGCACCACCAATGTGGCTAATTATTATTATTTTATTTTTTGTAGAAACAAGGTTCCACCATGTTGCTCAGGCTAGAAGAGCAGACAAATTTAAAAGGTGCTTGTTTGCAAGCTCATCAAAGGAAACAAATGGCAGATATTAATCTTTTGCATGTAATTTAACTGAAACTATCTTAAAATAGAATTTGAAAGTTTTCATAGCGTGGCTTCTTTAGACCTAAACAGAGCTGCTGAAGGATGCTATAGACTTTCGTTCTTGATAGAATATTTTGTTTTGAACAAGGGAGATTTATCTTTTTAGTACTTATTCATAATCCTAATTGGAGATAGGAAACTAGACTCAATCAAGGCTGAACATTCAAGTAAACATGGAAGAAAAAAATCACTATAAATTCTGCTGAAACTGTGATTAAAATAAATGATGCAGCACAGAGAATCTAAAATGATATTACAGTACAGAGACACATGAGGGTGCTCTAACCAACTACTATAATAACTAAATTATTCAAATATTGGGGAAAAATTAAGGCCCGTCGTGACTGGCAGTGATGAATTCCGACTTTTATCATTAGCTAGAGAGAACAATCTTAGAATAGATGGTTTTTAAAAAAATAAAATATATTGTTCTCTCCTACCCCTCCCAGTTTAGAAAGTAGAAGATGTTCTTATCTGTCAATTTGAAAAATACTAAAAAGCACAAAGAATGAGAAAAAAGTGGACTGATGTTACCGTCAGCCCTGGGAGGCGGAGGCTTTCTAGAACTTCAGAGCCAAGCCAGTTGGAGGCTTAGCTCAGGAGGCCTGCCTTCAAACACAAGCCCAGCCTGTTCTCATTTTGATTCCATAGACCTTCTGCTAGTACGAAGGGGGACTGGAGACTGGGGGTCTAATGACTGCAAGAAGAGAATTAGAGACGCATGTTTATCTCAATACATTTACCCTCATTAAAGTTCATATTCACTGACATCATGCATCTCCTTGAAAAAGTCTGCCCACCCACCATTAATTAAAACCACATTTAAAAAAGTCAGTGTATGCACTTTTATTCCAATCAAAAGTAGCCTCCTAAGTTTTGCAGAGCAGGCAGGAGAATATCTGAGGCCTGACAGCTGTTCACCTCTACACAGTGAAGAATCATGTGATTTACATTAAAAGTTGTGTTTATTCAGGGCCTAAAATATAATAGCTATGATCTATTGTCTTGAAGAGTTGAAACATTCAATATCTACTGACCTATTTAGTGAAATTAACATTTATTTTGATAAGTCAATGTTCTTTTGGATACAATGTCTGACCATATGCTTTTATCTTTCCAAATAGAGAAATCTAACTATATACCCAGTTTGAACAATTAAGCAGCACACTCCTATCAAAGACACCACACTTTATAACTTATACATGTACTATCAATGTTAGGACAAAGGTCAGTGTAAATTTTTTAAAATCCAAATCATTGCATAAACAGTAATTACCAATAGTTGTAGGATTGCACAACCATAGTCTATTTTCTTGGCAATAGTGGCTATAATTTCATAAATTCATGAAAATTAGAAATGTTGATTTTTAAAGTTCAAAAAAGGTACTATTTGTAAATAGTTCAGGTCACACTCATCTTATTCCATGTGCTAAGCAAGAGTTCTTCCAACTTCCTTTAAATGAGATTTCTTCCCTCTAGAGCCTTAGTAAAGGGGTTTTCATCCAAACTGATCAGCATTCTTTTCTATTATTTTTCCCATTAAAGCCTCTCAGGGGACATTTCAATTTTATGCTGATCTTTCTTTATATATTAATATCAAACACATTTTTATGTGGTGCTGATAAAAGACAAATTATGGTTATCTCTTCCTATTGTCAATTAGATTATTCTAGAATTGTTCTAAACAAATATTTGATTTAACCAGCCAGTATATGCTTTCCACACAAAAGCATCATGTACAGCATCAGATTCTCTTGTTATTCTGGTCATACCACTGTACCAAATGACATGGGTCATCGATGGATCTGAACATTGGCACTGAAATGGTTTAATCCTAGGGCAAAGCACCCCTGGACTAGGTATTGAGACCTGACTTTCTAGTCCTTTCTATTAACTTCTTTGTGATCTTGAGTACCTTGAGGGTCTCAGTTTCCTCATTTAACAAATGGTGGTTAGGAGGTGAATACTGACTGAAGCCCAGAAATTAATCAGGTCTAGAGGAGAAGGGGTTAGAGTACCCTTTGGGGATCTTGTCTTTCCCTGGTCCACTTACTCATCCAACACCAGAAAATCAAGGTGGGGCTTTTATGAGTGAGACTTGGGTCAGGTTCCAAAAGAGGGCATCCCTAAATCTAGAAAAAGCCAACGAACCATGCTTGTTGAGTTGTTTTCATGATACATGTAAGAAAAGATGTTCTGGGTCTTCATATCCTTTAGATGTAAGCATTCAATGCACCATTGCTGTGTGGGATGAAGCACTATCCTATCCCACAGATAGTATCTTCCCCCCAAATAATACAGTGTCCAGAGGGATCATGAAAGACTTAACTCAACACAATGCCAAATGCAATGGGTGGACTCCTTCAACTACTATAGGGAGGAAGGTGGAGTGTGGGTGGGAATATTTCAACCTAGTTGTTGGTATTCTTTGGAACAAACAGCTAAAAGCTGGGGGACAGTAGCAAGTTGTGTCTACACAGCATTTTATCGACTCTAAGAAAAGTTAAGATAAGCTCAGCATAAGTGATTTATAAAGCCATGCGGCCTACAAAATGAGCACAGTTGCATTCATACCTTCCTGCCAGCTCTGTTGTTATGAAGATTCATCAGGGCTCTGGCATCCTTTCCTTTCCTTTCCTTGGCATCCACAAATGCACGGGCAAATTTGATCCCATAGTCAATGTTATCACTGCAGCCACCCCAATCAAAAACGCCCTTGCTGTCCTTGCCACTTCCCATCTTCTTTGGATCACAGGAACAGGATTTTACTTCTCCTTGGCTACAGGCCCTGGTGATGGCAAATACAACTCCAGCTGAGGAGATGGCATAAACAAAGGCAGATTCCCGACTACCTGAAACAAAAATGCTCTTCTTAAAAGTGGTTCGGTAGCACTGTTTTTGAATAACTTTCATATGGTAATTGTTTAAATACTTGCTCTGTTGCTGACAACCTTTACCACTAGACAACAAGGTACTGATATTCTTGAAGGATTCTTTTCTAGAGCCCAGGCTGTTTCTTTAATGTGATTTAAAGAATATTTGGAACTTCCATCTAATGCAGGTTTTGGTCAATTTAGATATCTGTATGGCAACTCTTCTTGAATAAAGAGTAGCAAATGGCCTTGCTCAGCTTCTGGTTTCACATTAGTTTCAAACGCAGGCTTACTCTGATTCAACAGAGAGCTCTAGAAGCCCTAGAAGAGAGAAGTATAGCATCTCTAGGCTTTTTTCTGTACTTTAGAGTCTGAATGCCACAATTCTATCATTCCATAATATAGTTGGATACTCATGACACCACAGCTTCCCTCAAAAAATCCTTCCAAACCTCCAGGACTTACTGAAGATACTCACATGCATTAAAATTATTGGAATGAAATACTGAATTCAAAGAAATCTAGGGACTAAGGTGGGAAGAGAATTCTGGCAGTAACCAGCCCCTTGCATTAACACTGGAGAGCTTGGCTTAGCATTGACTTTCACAAGTAATTGAGAGATTGCTGAAGGCAATATGCAATATCCTCGAGTTACATACTATATGTCTAACCATTAAGGTGAATTTACTTTCTTCTGGAACACCTGCACTAATCACTGGTATTGGGTAAAAGACAGTGAAAAGCTTTTCTTTGGTTTTTCTGGAAGGAAACAAATTTACCGCCTATAATTAGACTTGGGCAAGAACCCTTTGGGGTGCTTTCTTAGAATTGTTCTTTATTAGAGCAAAGGCTACTTTCACTTACAGGCTGAAAGGTACATATTTCAGTGCAATAACTACATTAAATTATTTTAATAATCTGTAGTAACTCATAACACGGTGTTGTGGTATAGTGACAGATATAAGGCTCTTTAGGGTCTGTGTGCACCTCATTTTTCAAGTGGAGCTGTATTTCATTGTTATTAGCATGCCCTTTTATTAATGGTTGCTGCAGCAAATATATTAACAATCAAAATAGAAGCTAGACAACCTAATGCCAATGCAAGGCAGAAAACAGAGAACCATTCGGTGATTCAATATGTCAAGAGGAGTGTGACTTTTTGAACCACACAACTGGGAGAGCAAACCACCTCTTCGCATTGAAGCCCTGCTTGTTTCCGTTTGTCATTCGTGTTAAAATTTATTATACATCCTTTGCAATATTTGCCCTGCTAGTCTCATTATTAAAAATCAGGAAAACATATCTACACCATATTAAATGGCACTTACCTCAGCCCTCAGAAAATATTTACCCCCCAAATCTCTAACCATCAAAAAAGGGAATCAATCATACTCTGTAGTTAGGTAAAATCAATTCTATGACAATTTGCCATAGGTTGCAGATAGTGCTCTCCAGAGGGGAATATGATGGTTATCAGAGCTGTTTTAAAGAGTCCCCACTTATACGATATAGATCACAGATATTCTAAGTGGAATTGAGATGTTTTGTAAAAGAAGGTGACTAATATATGCTCATGTGGCTTAATCTCAGGTAGTGGCTTTCAGATAAATAAAATTTTTATTATATCCATTTTACACTTTAGGAAAATTCCTTGTCCACAGTTATCCCATTTATCTTCTAAAACTTGGTTTGGGATTTAGAAACCAGTGCCCATGTTTAGAGAGATCACATAGAGGAGGAAATTCCCAAATGCTTAAGTATGTAGCACTCGTCTTATTTTTTAAGGAGAAAGAAGAGACATTTTATGAGGTGGTCTTTTACGGTAAAGGCATGGGAGATGTGGATGATAGTATATCAGGTGACCAGACAGTATTTTGAAAGCAACAAGAGAAATAAATTGTCTAGGTGCAGAATTCATCCTGGTATAACTTGCAAACCAGTACATTAACTTGTTGGCTGAAAGAAAACAAATTACAATCTGCTTCATTTCAGAAATAATTTCCAAAGCAAAAATATGACTTTTCTAAATATTTGTCATTTATTATTCAAACACATTATTATGTAGATGTTCCTTTTTTAAATTAAAAATGTAGCACATTGACTAGTTTTTCATTTTACCTCCAGATGGTTTGGTACCATGTAGATATAGCCCTAAGATGTTTTCAGTTAAGTGTTTTAGATGAATCACTAAAATGTTGTGTGTGAAGTAGTAGCACATTTCAAGAGCTGGTTTGGTAACAAAGCAAATTTTGATCTTGGGCCTCTTCTTAGAAAGATTCTTTTTAAAGCTATCACAAAATAAAACAAAATCCAAATCTAAATGGTGACATCTATATTTCCTAACGTGTTGCTATTGAAGTTTCTCTAATTTTTGTATGGAGATAAATTAAGCAATGTCTATTAAGTACATAGGCACAGTTTTTATTTGGGGTAGGGAGATTGTTACCTAGGAAGGCAAAACTCTAGAAGCTAGGGTTTCTTGAAGGTTATGGGTTGTTCAACTCTCTTTTAAAATATTTGCTTTATAAAAAATATTTACAAGGATGAGACCTAATTACCTTTGTGTTTTCTAAGGCTAATTCAAGAATTTTGGAGGTGTATTCTTGCAAGTATATTTTTGGGTTTGCTAGTTCTGTCCTTGTTTCTCTGCCTGTGACTGGTAACTGTCTGTTGAATGAGTAAATTACAAATGTTTCTAAAAATTGTTCTGTCTTACTCTGACACTGTAAAGCCAGACAGGCAAACATTCTCTATTTCTCTATGACCATGGGACATTCTTGTAATTTTATGTTCTCCTTATAAATGGTCTTGCTCTTTGCCTTTCCTCTTTATCTATGAGCATATTTAGCTGTCCAAAGGAGTGTTCCTTACAACTCTAAGAGGTAACTTTCTCTCTAAGCGACTAATTGTAGAAATCTTTGGATAGCTTCATTGGAATTTCTTGATTATTTCCAGTATAAGCTCCTTTAGGCCAAATTCAGCCCTCCTATAACCAACACAAAATCATCACTGACAGTCACAAGAGTTTGCATAAATGTCTGGGAGGGAATCTGGCCTTCTGTGAAGAATGGAAAGAAATTGTGTTGCATGAGTGGTTTACGTTCTGAGTCCTTTGGCAAAGTATTCTGCTTTATCTGAAAAACATCTGAAGGAAGCACAAATTAGAATCTCTTATTTCTCTGAGGCTCAGACTAAGTCAAACTAGTTCTGTTTCCTGTCACCCAGGCTGGAGTGCAGTGGCATGGTGTTGGCTCACTGCATCCTCTGCCTCCCAGGTTCAAGTGATTCTTGTGTCTCTGCCTCCCAAGTAGCTAGGATTAAGGTAATGTGCCACCACGCCTATGGGGTTTTGCCATGTTGGCTAGGCTGGTCTCAAACGCCTGGCCTTAAGCGATCTGTATACCTTGGCCTCCCAAAGTGCTGGGATTACAGGAGTGAGAACTAGGAGTGTCTCTAGTTCTAACCTCCTTCCTCTCAGCAATTCTATAGCTCAGAAGAAACTAATAGTATCAATATTAAGTTACAGTATTTTTATGAATGAATCCCTAGCTTTGGTGGATATATTTTCTTTAGGATCACTGGTCAATATTGCTTCCTTTGATATGCGATCTAAAGATTTTATTCAAATATGTAGACATTTTAATAGATCCAGAGATGATCATTTTACAAATGCATATCTAATTTGAAATCATTGGAAAATGGTTGTGAGCACTTTGAAAAAAAATCCTGATATGTTTTAAACACTGAGAGCCATGCATAATATATCCAAAGATTACTTGTGCTAGCTATTTGCAAACTCTCTTGACAAGGTCCAGTTTCTTTAATTGATTCACTGGCAAAATAATCTAGGTGAAGTTTTAAAATTCCATGAAGCTGAATTTATTATTAACCTTTCAAAAATTTGCGATGTCATATTGAAACTCCAAAAGGAATGCAGAAGAATATAGTTCTTAAACTAGAGAATAAAATTGCAGAATATTGCAGTAAATTAACTTTAGGGATACTCTAAGAATGAGAGTACTACGCCCTTGGGGGATTTTAGAGACATTCAGTTATGCATTTGGCCTCATAAAACCCTAGGGCTGTGATGATTACATGATAGAAACACCCTCTGTTAAGCATTACCAAGCGCACAGTCCGGATGATTTTCTTAGGAATGGGGGGTAGGCAAAAACAAGTACAAAGTTTCCTATTTCGGGGGTTCGCACATAAACTGCTGTGTTTTCAGTCAGATTTTCTAATAGCAAATGGGCTGTGGTATTTTTTGGAGAGTGCTAATAATGCCAGGTTAGCAGATGGGTATTATTTGAAAATAAAATATGATTTTCAATTAATTTTCTTTGATTGTATACTAGCTAGTGAGCTACTTTATATATGCAGAACTTTTAAGAAGTTTATTATGTAATTAGAAAATGTTTAAGATTCCTGCTAAGGAAGAAAAAAACCTCTATGTATTCATGTTTCCCACCTCTATCCCCCATAGTTATCCTTATTGCTTAAAATGTAGCTCGAAATTGATAGGCACCCACTACAAGTTGATCCATTCATTCATTGTAATGAATGAACAGGGCCTGTAACACACAAGGCACCAAGCAAGGTGCAGGGAATATGGGTTAGTTTCTGCCCTTACAGAATTTACAATCTGATGGGAGGAAAACTGTTGAAATTAGACACAGGGTGACCCAAGGCTGAATTGCTGAATGGAAGGTCAAAGGTGGTGAGTAGAGATTTGTCTGTCCTTAACACTTACGTGGTATTTTTGTAATACTGATAATCTTTCGCTGAGAAAAGATTTGAAGATTCTATCCTGATGATCTGGTCAAATTCTTCTGGAGGAAGAAGCCCCAGAAAGACCAGGAAAAAGTCAAAAGAGACTTGTGGCTCCTTCTCTCTCATCTCTTAGAGACGAAATTTGAACCTGGAGGATGTGCAGTGTTGTAGTAATGGACAGAGCAAAGAGTGAAAAGACAACAGCCTGGGGTTCTACTTCTTCCTTGTAATTCACCTCTTGTAAGCCTCCAGACATGTTCCTTGATTTCTCTAGTCCTCACCTATAAAACAGGGACAATTACACCCATCAGAACAAACTTCTGATAGAGTAAAGTGCAATAGAAAGGAGCAGGGTCTTTGAAGACTGAGTGAAGGGAGCCGTGCATCAGTAGAGAGCCACAGGGCTGGGTGAAGGCAGGAGACTTACTTCGGAGTAGGACCCTGCCAAAGAGGCTGTGATCCCTGTCCAGAGTGTTGCAATTCCAGCGGTGCTGGCGGAACTGGTACTGGCATTCTGAAGTCCACTCGGTCACGCCCAGGCCAATGGCACGCATCACATCTGGGTGTCGATGACACAGCTGCCGCTGGCTGCTCACCAGGCCTGGCACATTATCGCACATCACCCTGGAGGAGCCACCTGTAGCTCCCATGTACCTATGAGGGACCAACCAACACAGAGGTGAGGGCAACATGAACAGGGAGGCTTAGTGGTCCTGGGAGACTAAGGAGTTCAAAGCACTTGTCAAATATGAATTCCTTATCCTTTTGGTGTTATTAGAAAGCAAGGATATTTACTTTTTAATTTAGTGGAGAATTGGGCAAGGCAGGCAGTCATAGTGAGTGATCTTGCAGAAGTCACCCCAAAGATGTAGTGATGACTGCTGAACATGAAGCTAGGTTCACCAGATGATGCTCCAGGTAGGGGGACAGAGGCAAGGTCGGCATTTGGGGAAGTGAACGATGGGTAAGAAGCAATGTATCTTGAGGAGAACATGTGGAAGACTTTTCTCAAGAAGGCTCAGATCTCAGAGACACAATGTGTCTGGACTTGGTTTTGGGGGAAGCTGACCTTAAAGCTCTTCATTCCCATTTATTTGACAGAATGTCTTAAGAACTGTCTGTATCTGTCTAATCAACACCTGCTGGTATCTGATGTTACCCTCTCCTCACAGACAGGCTGTTCTTTCCTTACTGAAGAGTCTTTTAAATATTTCCATTTTGCAGCTCTTTTTGGCTTTTATAAAGATCCTTTGGAAAAAATTCTTTCTATTGTTATTAAGGACACTAAATGTTTGGAAGAATCAAACAGTGTTATAGCTCCATAAAGTACTTTTTGAAAAGAAACTTTAACAAAAAATTACATCATCATCTCTACCCAGATGTTCTCTATTAGTTGTGAAATGTTTAGAAAGGTACCTTTTATATAACCCAAGCTGCCATAGGTGTCTTTTGAAGCGATCAAACAAGGAGAATGTCTTTTTCTTGTATTTTCATTATTTTATATGATCATAAAATCGTTACAGCTGTGACTTCCAAAAAATATATTTAAGTGACAGCTGAGAGACAATGTGACAAAAAGCCTGAGCAATAAATAATGTTTATACACCCATGGAAACAGAAATAGTCATTTTATTGAAAAATGGTCAGTCTGATAAATCAATCTTTGATCCTGTGTCAGCAATGTCAAGGCTAAACGCCTCCCTGTTCAAAGCGGGCTTAGGAAGGAATTGAACCCCTCTTCCCAAAAGCACATTGCTTTGCTCTTTTGAAGAGCTCCAGTGTCTTCCTAAAAAATTCCCTGTTCTAGTCTGTAATTTAGCTGAGACCCCTTACGTTTGCCAGATTCTTTAGAAAACAGCCCACAATAACAGGTCTCTCTGAATCAGTATTTTAATACCTGTTCTGAAACTTTTAGGTGCAAGGACATTATAGGGCTATCAACTCTGTCTCGTTCCAAGACTAGAAAGTCGGCAGATGGAGAACAGTTTCTGGATGGGGAGAGAATCTGCCTTTGGGACTTTAGCGATGCTAAGACCTGTTATAGTTCAACATTCCATCACTATGCAAAAATAAATAAATAAATTGCAGATCAACGTACAAAGGAAAGCAGGAAAGTTATTCTTTGAGGGGACGGTTGTGTACAGGGTAACGTCTTAGACCCCGGGGTCTGTAGCTTTGCATTAAAGCAATAGTCTCTACCTGGAGGCAGCAACATGTTCTTCCGCCCCATTGGGGTGAAGCATTAGGAATGTGGAAGGACGGGAAATAATACAAAATCACACGCTTTGGGCTCTACAACTCCTGACTGCCTGAATTGGCCCGTCGATTTACCTTGTGGGGCGGGGGTGGCAGTTATAGTTTTCAAGGTGAATTCACACACACACACACACACACACACACACACATTCTCACACACTCGCACACGACTGGGCTAGAGCTGGAGATGGGCTAGCACGTCTCTCAACAGGATAAGAAATTGGCTGATTTTGCTGTCGTTCAGCTGGATCCAAATAAACCAAACATCAGAGCTCTCATATGAGGGGGAATGTGGTTTTTTGGAGTTGTCAAAGCTGAAACGATCTTCCAGATAAAGAGAAGGGGCTCATCACCGTGCGATAAGAGGGCAGTAGCCAGGGTTCGGACCAGAATCCGAGATTGCTGCGGCCTCGGGGAAATGCAGCCAGGAAAGGTCTGTGATGGCCAGTGCGGTCCCGGCTCGGATCTCCAAAATCCCCCCGCGCCGGTGCGCATGGACTTACCACCATGAAGAGCTGACCTCGGGGGTGAGCCAGGTCAAGAGCAGAGGGAGCCAGAGCCAGATTCCACGGAGAGGGGAGTTCATATTAACCCCCCTTGCGTCTGCATCAGGTCAGACTCCGTGTGCGGGCGCCATGCGTGCCCAGAGCAGAAGCGCTCAGCTCCGGGAGCGCCTCGTCACGGCCCCGGCGCCTCGCCGCGCCCCCGCCCCCCGCTCGCGTCTGCGACGAGTGGCGAGACTTGCTGATAAAGTTTCAAACGATGGGCCCGGCGAGAGATAAAGGCCAGCCTGGGCTGCCTCGCCCACAGCCCAATTCCCCAGGCGCAACAAGCGCCTGCAGCCCGAAAGCTGTGCGCGCCTCAGGCGCGCCCCTGTCCGCTCTGCTCCCCTGCGCCTGAGGGAGGGAGTACTGCGCCTGGCGGGGGTGGGGAGAGGCGCGGGGTTTTAGACAGCAGTGCATAAAATGATGGCAAGAGATGTCTGGGGATGAGGTGAGGTGGGGAAGGGGGAACACCCCTGCGTGGCTTCGAGCACACGTGAACACAAGCACCTTTAGGGAAGCTGATGGCCAAAGAGCATCTGTGGGCTCCAGGGGCGCGCGTTCCGGATTGCCGAGGCCATCCGCTGGCAAATAAGTCCCTAAGCGTGCAATGCGGGGAAACGATAAGGGGCGGGAGGGCGGCATAAGGAGATTCCTATGCATGGGATACAAGAATCCAGTGATGATTTTCAACTCATTGCTTCACTTCACTCCCTGACCCTGGGATGAAGAGCTAGCACTTGTAAATTTGGAGCTGCTGCGTCTATGCAGGGCAAGGTTAGAGAGGGAGGGGCAGGCCTTTGTGAACTGACCTGTTGGCTTTGATTCCTTGGTGCTGGGCTTATCTAAGGAGCCCATAGGGAGGGGAACCTGGAGGGTCCGTGACCCCTCGGACCTCACCCAGCAGTATCTGCCAAAGCACCCGGGAAAGGCGCAGTTGTTCCACATACCCAGCTCCTCCCTGGCACTGCGGAGCGCAAAAGATCACATCAGAGGAATCGAGGCAGCCAGGCGTAGCGTGTGCCCTTGCACCTTCCGCCGCCCGGGCGCTCAGCCTGTGCACCTTGGGGAGGTTAAGGGACCCCTGGTCCCGGACCTGGGCCCCTGCCTAGCCAGGAGAGAGGGGCTCAGGCCCGTGGGTGGAGCATTTTGAGCAGTAGCTGGCTTGTAGCCGCACCGTTTATCACCGGAAAGGAAGGAAGACCAGGAACTCGTGGCGGCCGTGAACTGTTCCATTGCTCTTTTCCTGGGGCGGAGGGACTTGCTGCCTGCCCGAGGAGCGTGCTCTGGAGACTAGAGTGTGCGCCTGTGTGTGTGTGTGTGTGTGTGTGTGTGTGTGGGAGGTGAATTGTTGGCAGGGCATGGGGGAGGGGGTGCCTCCCAGATCGGAAGGACGGGTTCTCCCTCTCGCCCGCCCACTCTCGGGCCTGGACTGGCCAGAGCGTCAGCCCTCACTGGCCGAGAGCGCCGTGAGAGGCTGGACGAAGCGAAGCTTTGAGAAGCCAAAAACCTGAAAGATGCTGTCATCGCCAACCCCTTCCCCCACGCTGGTCCCTGGCAGGTCCGGCCCCTCCCAGGCTGACCCAGATACATCCCCGTTTGGGTCCGGAAAGGGAGGGGAGGGAAACAAGCACCGCGCCACCCACGACTCGGGAAGAGCAGGGCTCTTAGCCAGGGCCGCTCCGTATCGCTGGGCCGCGACCCAGGGAAGTTCTGCTCGGTCTGCGCCGGTTGGGTGGGAGGTGCAGGCAGGGCTCACGGGGAGGTAGGCGGCGGGGCGGAGGAGCGTTTCTGCTCCCTGTGTGTGCACGATGGCCACGGGGAGGATATGATAGGCACCAAACAGCAACACGTCTTCCGTGCACCTCCATGCTTATGCTCACAAACCTCCTTCCCCGATGAAGCAGAGGAGTAAACTAAAGCTTACCTCTACCCTCCTTTGTCCCATGGTTTCTTGAAATTAAGTCCAGACACTTGGGAAAGAAAAGGTGGTTGGCTCCAAGGAACCATTCATTGCCAAAATTTCACTTCTACCGTGAATGAAGTAGGGGTGTGGATGTGTGTGTTGGGAAAGGTAGGCAGTCATATGATTGTCTCATAGAGAATACGATTTGAAAGCAGCTAAAAAACTCCAACTCAAGTTCCACCCATCTCAGCACATTGTGTCCTGAGAGCTAAGGGGTGTTAAAGGACACAGAATGTGACCATCAGCTTACAGGCCCTTCCTCTCCGCCCAGGGAATTAGTGAGTGGCCAGGAGACCTGCCCTTCAGTTGATGGTGGGGCCAATGGAATGACCTAAACCTGAAACAGACCTCCTGGAAAAGGAGTGGACCATCCCCAAAAGCTAATTAAATCCACGCCAGAGGACTTCATCCTGGGGCAGGAGGAGGAGGAGTGCCACATGTCTCGGAGAGAAGAAATTGGTTTTGGTGAAAGGCAAAAGGCTGAAGAAGTTTGAGCAAAGAAAGCTAAATCCAGATGTGAAAGAAGGGTCCACCCAAACACCCCTTCCTGACCTGTCTAGAGACCGTCTGGACTCAATGACTTGTCTCTTCCAGATCTGTGATTCCATTTCCCTCCCATTCTCCACCCCTTTCACTTATGAACCATTACTTAGCCCCAGTATGACTTATTTTCCTGCCAAGAAGGCCTTTACTCCCTCCTTGTCTGTAGCTAATCTTTGGATGGACCCCTTCACTTTGAAAATAAGGTGTTCACTAGTAGACATAGTTGGGAAATGCTCAAGAAAATTAGGAGGAAAGGTTACAGCAAACCTCACTTCTTTTGCAATCAAAACTACCATCCTAAAGAAGAGTTAATAAGTAATGAAGTAACTTGCATATAATTTCAGCCTAGCTATAGCAGATGATGAGGTAAGGAAAGAGAGGGTCAGAGTGCCTTTAGATTTATGAATTTAAACATCCGATTTTTTTTTAATTTCTTCAATGAGAAATCTCAGAATTGACTGTAAAATTCATTTACAATATACAGAACCGGGTTCTCTTTCTGGAGCTTAATGTTAGTTTGCTTGTAACTTCAGTATAGCACTGTAGCCAAATGAGTCAGTCTATTTTCTTAGTTAGATCCATTGTTTGTCTAATCTCCCAGGGCAGACTAAGAGAAGTCATTTACTACTGAGCCATCTCCACCCTTTAAAAATGGAGAGTTACTTCTCAACCAAATAGTCATTTGCCTTTCAGTCTGAACTGGCTTCTTCCTCAGACAGCGAATCCTAAGATAACCACTCACTAACCAAAGCATACCTTCTAGTATCAATTATTTAAATCTCAATCGTGCCTTTAAATCAATGTGCACCAAAGACTTTTGCTTCCAGCCATGGGAGAGTAACAAGTACCTGACTGGCTCCCCTTTTCCGGTATTGGACAGTAGGCAGCACACAGCTGTGATCCCTGAGAGAGGGGAAACACATTAGGTTTGCTCCACAACTCTCCTACAATTGTCCAAGTTTTTTGGCTGAAGAGAAAGACATTTTTCTAGAATGGAGGAAGGTGGTACACAGACAAGGCAGTAGTTTCAGTTGAGGAGGGAGAAACTGGAGTTTCGGGCTGTTGAAGCAGTTGAAATTTCTGGAGATAGGTGACTATGGAAAAGGAACCCCCACCCCCACAAGCCTACATGGAGATTCACCACCAGTCCTTGGCCAAAAGCTAAGCTGAATCTAGACATGACAAGATTCTGCAAGGCCTAACAGAGATTACCTGCTCCATGTAGTGCATTGTTGAGAGACATTGAAATTCCATTGCAGCAGGGCAGACAGACCTCATTGAGCACTTCAGGCATTCAATTGAAGCACTAGAAAGGCCTTGCCTTAAAAGTAATAGGCTAAAAAGCATGTCTTAGAGCAAAATTCAAAATCTTGTTTCCCTATAGCACATACTCTAATAAAGAATAATAACAAAACAGACAGGACTAGGAAATTTTATAAGAATGAAACAACACCCCTTAAAAGAAAACAACATGATACAGACTCCCTACAATGGATCATCAACGATAAAAAATTTAATATGCTGCACACAGTGGTGTATGTCTATAGTCCCAGCCACTTGGGAAACTGACAAGGGAAGATCACTTGAGACCAGAAGTTCAAATCCAGCCCAGGGCAACATAGCAAGACTCTGTTTCTAAACCAACTAACCAACAAACAAAAATGGACAAGTGAAAAATACACTAAAGTTACCTATGCTTAAGAGAAAGCAGTCAATAGAAACTGACCCTGAGATGGCCCAGATATTAAAGGAATTGGTAGGAAAGAAATTTTAAAGTAACTATTATAAATATATTCAGGTATTTAAAGGAAAATAGAATGAACAAGTAGACAATAAAAAAATAGAGAATATCAGTAGAAAAAATGGAAACCAAAAGAAAGAAATGAAAATTCTAAACCCTACTAATACAGCTACCTTATTTCCAAAATTTGTACTTTCTGAAATGGAATTCCAGAAAGAAAGCAGAAGAAATGGGCCAAAAAATATTTGGAAATAATGCCCCAAATTTGGCCCACATGATGGAAAACATAAATTTATCAATCTAAGAAAGGTGGAAAATTTCCAAAAGACTAAATGCTCAGCATATCACATCAAACTATTTAAAGCTATGTATGACAAATCTCTAAAGTAGCCAAAGGAGAAAGATACATTATATATAGGAGAACAAGAATTATGAATTACACCTGGCTTTTTACCAGCAACAATGAAAGTCAGAAAACAATGGAATGACATCTTTAACATGCTAAAAGGAAAAAAAGTCCACATGGAAATCTATAATCAGTGAAAATGCCCTCTGAAAATGAAGTGGAACTCTTCTCTTGTTTCTTCTTCTTCACTTAACCTTGGGAATAAGAGCCACATTGCATTAATAAGAGCAAAATGAAAACAGAGCAAGCTGAAATAAAGTTTAAAGCCAACCCTAGACAGGATAAAGATTTCCCAGTGGTACTTTTTTTGCTATTCAACAGAAAACTCCACCCTCCCTTTTTAAACATTAAAATTTTTTTTTTTTTAGTTGGAGTCTTGCTCTGTCGCCCAGGCTGGAATGCAGTGGTGCAATCTCAGCCCACTGCCACCTCCGTCTCCCTAGTTCAAGCAATTCTCCCTGCCTCCGCCTCCCAAGTAGCTGGGATTACAGGCACCCACCACCATACCCAGCTAATTTTTGTATTTTTTAGTAGAGATGTGGTTTTGTCATGTTAGCCAGGCTGGCCTTCAACTCCTGACCTCAGGTGATCCGCCCATCTTGGCCTCCCAAAGTGCTGGGATTACAGGCATGAGCCACCACACCCACCACACCCCACCCGACCCTCCTTAAAGGACCATAATATCATTC